TATATGTATATATATATATAAACATATGTCCAAAAACAATAGTTAGGACAAAATTGCAAAAACGAATTACGATTAATCATGTTGACATTTTTTATTCATGTGTTCTTTGATACTACACATTTTACTGCCTTTGTTATTTTTTAATATCCATCCATTATATAATATTTATCCATAATTTCGATCAAAGTTTTTTATCGAGAAAACTCACTTTGTAAGTACACTGTACTACCCTGTATACACAGTGTGTGGCTGCAGACGTAACGTACTGTACATTAAACAGCAGGACCTACAGTTCACAGTTCATTGTAAAAACCTGCAGGATTGAAAGAAAAAAATGCTTTTCCATCATTCTCCTTTCTCACCAGACATAGAAAAATAAATAAATAAAAGCTTAACAGGCAGTTTGGGAACAAAAAAACCTGTTTTTTTTTTTGTTTTTAACTTTTTTTTAAGCAGTGAATAATGAAGGGCGACTCCAGTCCAGAGTCCCAGTATAAAAGACTCAGAGCTCGAAGTGAGCAGACTGGCTTGGATTCTCATTTTTATTTGTAATTGAGAGAAATGAGCCAGAAAGGAGTGCGAAGGTGAGGGAGTATTTGTTTGGTTTGCTCACATTTATATCCGGGTGCCGTTTCGCGACACGTCTCTTACTCACCCTCCTGGCTCGTCTTTAAAACCTCCCGTCGGCGTTGCCAGACTCAGTTATGCGGATTGCCTGTAAAGATGTGATATCTTGGAAGCACTCAGACCGCCGCCTGAATATTGGTCTGTAAACCATCGTTAGCGAGCACAAAAATGTAAGTCTTTAAAACCTTAGGTTCGGCTGACGTGCCGTGTAACCTCTGGCCTTCGCCGTGACAAACAGAACCGTCTGAAATCGTTTGTAATTATGGTGAGGTAAATCTAATTTACCCTTCGACGAATGAACGCTTCTCCAAACGCATGAATTAAAGCCTTCGCAAACATAAAGAAACTGCCGTAAATCACAGAGACGCAGAGGTTTATTTTAAAAGTTGATGATTTTAGCGCCACCATCCTTCCTCACACACTCACTTCTATCAAAGCAGAAGGATTTGTTCCATGTCTGTGATGTTATGGACTTTGAAAAAAAGAAGAAGAAAATGGTCCTGACTTTTGATGCCATCATGGCAAGACAGAATTTCATATTTGTCTTTGACATCTTGACAATTGGGGGTGAGTCGGGGGGAGAGGGGGAGGGGTGCAGGAGGGAGGCTTCACAACTTTCAAGCGCACACATAAAACTTAGATCAGTTGTGTTTTTAGAGGTGCAGAGGGAAGTCACCGCTTTCAGCCGAATCAACATTTCAAAGTCTTTGCGGAGCCCTTGACTTTTGTGGCAGATCACAGGGAACTGGATCGGCAAGACTCATTTACATGGTTCAGAAATCTGCCGCTGGTCCGCGCTCACATCTAACCTTTTGTCTCTGCAGAATCTGCAGAGGGAAGTAGTTAAAAAAACACACAGCTGGGAGCCAATATAAAATAAATATGTAAAGTGCTGCATACAGCACAGATGGGTATGTTAATGTTCGCTAAATCTTTGTTCGTTTCCGTGCAGTAAAAGTGTTGGAGGGCGTACAATTCATGAAAAAAAAAAAAAAAAGAAAGGGAGAAGTTTGAGCGACTCCTGGAGCAAAGCCACACCGGTGGACCTGTCACTTGATTAGTCCTCTTGATTACCATTTATAAGAGGCCCCCATCGCTCTATTATTTGCATTCCTATTTAGCCGTGATTTTGTGGAGGGCACATCGTGATTAAACTTGTCAAGAGGCCTGATTGACAGGGTCAAATCTCCACATTCCTTTCTGCTGAAATGCAAAAAAAAAAAAAAAAGACAGAAAAAGTAAAGCAGACAGTGGATGTGTCAGCTTCCCTTTCCTCTCCCCAGTTCGGCAAAGTCGCCCCCGTCCCCCCCACCACCCCCCCTCACTCCCCCGTCTCTCCCCGTCCCTTCTTCCCCTCTTACAATCTCGGTCAGGAATGTTTTAATTTTAGGGATAGATTCTGCCTGTCAAGCCAGGCTGAATGGCCCGTAGTTCAGAGGATGAGATGTGATGGGTGTAAAACAATAAAAAAAAAAAAAAAGAGCAGGAGATGGGAGAGAACAAAGAGGAAAAGAGCTCACTTTATTGGACAGATTTAATTACACTGAATAGAGATTAAGGCAGGCGATCCACTGAGGTGTGAAATTAACCCTTGATTACTGATGAAGCTCTGAACACCGGCTGAAAACAACAGTTAAAATAAGATTGACCACTCAGTAATGGTAATTATTTCAGATATCACTCCGGAAGAGGAGCCTTGATGGCTGACGCTGGCGTGCATAAACGGACGTGGGTAGGTAAATACATTATTAACCAGGCTGGAAATGACTTAACATGATCTGAAATCTAGCAGCTTGCTTGCATCACAGATTACTAACCTCTCTCTCTGTTCCACTGGTCTCCTCCTTCCCTGAAGGAAAATTGGGGCAGAAGAAAAGAGAGCCACAATTAAAAATGCAGAAATGAGTTGATGCAATCTGCTCACGCTAAATAATGTTGGTTTTCATTCTTTCTTATTTTTATTTTTTTTATGAAAGGAAATGAGATTTTTAGTGTTTTATTATTGATGTACAACAATATATTTATTCCCTTAATCATTGGGATCGGTCCCTAAAAGTTATAGTCTGAAAACTTTAATTTAATTTATTATTATTATTGTTATTTCTTTACTTGTTTTTGCGGGGCTGTAAGAGCAGCTGTGGAACTTTTGAATTCCATTCCTCTCAGTAGCTATTTTCAACTAGTTAACATTTTCCAAATAAAATTAAGAAAAAATGAGAAAATGCAAGCAGACGGCAGCATAACGACAGGTGAACAAAACACCTAATAAATCCAGAAATTGTTTAATTTTAATACCTGGAAAATATTAAGATGTTTCAAATGTTTTTCCATTTTATTTTGTTTTATTTTTGCCAAAACTAAAGATTATTCATAGTAAAGGTTTGTGACCTTTGAATTCCAAAAGGAATTTAAGAAGAATCTGGAATGGAGAATAAAATTGGTGATATGTGAAGAAATACTTTTGTTATATTTAACTTATTGACCTTTATATTTATTTGGTTACCCATTCTAAATGGACGGGTTTATTACTATTTACTCATTTCTGTATTTGTACATATATGTACTGTATGTGTATATATGTTTATATATGTGTATTTATACACATAGGTATAAATGTATATAAATATAGATTTATATATGTATCTTTATATACACATATATGTATATATGTATGTGTCCAGATATGTTTATCAGCACTTGATGTGGAAAAGACACGTCAGAGGCAACGGAGGAGGAACACCGTCAAGTAAAAGAAGATTACGTTAACGCAGCGTAAAGATAACGTATCTTGACTCTTCGACTTTATGAAAACAGACGATGTTTCCAGCGCTGCGATGTTTACTCATCTTATCACCACTACACATTATCAGCCACTCATCCAGAAGGGAAATGGGACGTCCTCTTGTTCCGACCTCATGTTCCTGACTCGCAGACAGGCAAATGCGCCGCCTGCCCCACCAAGGCTGGCTGTTCGTGTAATTAGTGGTAATTAATGAACGGAAAGCGAGGACTCGTTTGTATTTTAAATGATCTTAAATGATCCCATTAGCACTTGTCATAGTCCCGTATACCGAACAGCGTGGGTTCGATTAGATTTTTGTTGTCATAATCAAGTGCTTTTTAAGACGCCATATTGGAACTTCCTTTACCGTTGGGCTTCAGCCTGAGGAAACGGCTGCGAAGACAGTAAAAGGTTCCGGTCCTGGCCTTTGTGGGTGTTTTGCAGTGTCTCAAATGCAGTGTGTGTATTACTGTATATACTGGGCGTCCGACTGGAGCTCCAGCACTGCTGCCTACCTCTCATCTCTAACTGTGAGTGCATGACAGCGTGCATACAATAAAATATGTACCCTGTCTTGTACATTTCATTGGCAGTGCTGAACGGACAAGGGAGGAGGACAGAGAGGGGAAATAAAGTGCCATAATGAATCTAAAAAGCATAATTCATTCTGATCAAACGCACTCAGGGATGAGTCATGCTCCGGTGAACCCTTCTGACCACTGATGGGTCTGCAGCCGCCCCCCCCCCCCCTTTCAAAAATTCCCCCCAGACTTTTTTTTTTTTTTTTTTTTTTATTAAGAGCTGTGGCTGTAAACCTGGGACAGGAGCTGTAGAGCAGAAGGAATAGAAGCAGCGGGTCGTGTAGCTGCTACACCAGAGAGAGAGAGAGGGGGAAACACACACACATACACACACACACACACTAGCTCAGGCTCTGGTGCGGGAATAAGAAAGGTACGATGATCAATTAATCCAGGCAGTAATTGGATGAGTGTGTATGTAATGTGGTAATGCTGTAATGAAAGTCATCCATTGTGCACATTCTCTCCCTGGCCGGTGAACCATCCCCCTCATCATCCTCTGGATCTCAGGTGCTTAGCCATGCAAATCTGTCTGACAGCCCAGTACATCTCTGTCTGCCTAATTGGACAGTATAGAGTTGTTTATGGATATTGCAGACATTTAGGACTCAGTTGGGGGCTGCTCAAAAATCATTAGCAAACGGCCCCAGTTACTGGACTGTCAACTTCACTTCACCGACGTCAAAACGCTGCAAAGGGAGAGGAAAAAAAAAATGTTTATCTCTGTCAACAACAGGGGGAAGGCTTGTTTTAAATGGAGCAGTATACTTGCTGAACATTCAAACACGTTACGAAGCGAGAGTGTGTGTGTGTGTGTGTGTGTGTGGATCAGAGCAGCTTGTTATATGACTCCCGCCACTAGTTTTTGATGTGTAAGCGAGGTGGTGTTTTTGTTAATTAGAAAAACACTCCGTCTGTGGAAGACCTGGTTCGAACGCTCCGAGAATAAACTGCAACAAACTCCTCGTCATATTTACTCTTACTGCTCTGACTCCTACGGATGGGTTTGACGGCCTCGTACTCTAGGTTCCTGTGCTGTAAATATATGTATATGTTTACATATGTATGTACTGTATATATGTACATGTTTATATATTATTTATATATATATTTATATATGTACATATATGTACAAATATATAAATATGTATTTATTATATTATTATTATATATTGTTTACACAAAAACATATATTCACATATATGTATATATGTATGTATATATACTGTTTGTAGTGTTTATATATAGAGATAGACTTCATATAAAATATATAAAAAATATAAATATAATTTAAATATATTTTATAAATATACATATATATATATATATAAAGTAGTCTTTTCATTATTTGGAGGGAAAGGGTGCTAGGACTCCACATATGTTTTTTTCCTTTTTTTCTCGTGTGTGTGTGTGTGAAAGTGTGTGTGAGTTTGTTGCAGGTGTGTGATTGAGTTGCACCTGACAGGTCCAGGTGGATCACATGAGCTGATTGGTTCTCTGCTGAAGACTCCAGGGTTCTTCCAAGAGACCTGCTGGAACCACACTGAGCCAAACTGCCATTTGTTTGTTTCGTTTGGAGGGAGCGGAGGGGGGGTGAGTATCTTTGGTGAATGAATTATGTAAATGTGATGTTTAAAAGAAGGTAGTTTCCTCTCAGAATTTCATAAAAATAATTTCAAAGTAACCTGGGTTTTCTTCAGGTATTCTGGTTTCCT